AAGATATTTCAATTCACTTTGTCTTATTATTAGATTTCTCTATGATTTCTAGTTTATATTATTTCCTAGATATTGTTATCTTGAAATATTAGCTAACCATCCATAATAGTTTCTTTATATACTTATCTTATTTTCATAAGATGTATATGGTACATATCACCTATATTGAGGTATAATTTTTATACCTATATTTATTGTTCAGGTTATTATGATTCGAACATAAACAATCTTCAACCCAAATGAAGCGACCAACCACCGGACACTAACCTGTGTGTTAAATAAAATTTTATATTAATTTTACCACATTTATATATATTATATAGGTATTTATGTTAGAATTACATATTATTAGTAATTTATTTTTTTTCAGAGAGTATATGATTCGAACATATGAAAGTTTAAACATTCTTTAGCTAGACTCAAGCTAGCGCCTTAGACCACTCAGCCAACTCTCTTGTATGATTCTTCAGTGACTCGAACACTGAACATATCCTTATCAAGAATACACTTTACCGGTTAAGTTAAAGAACCTATATAGTATTCAAGAGCACTTAGGACTTGAACTAAGAAAATATAAGGTTGAAGCTTACAGTTTTGCCTATTAAACTATGGCTCTTAAGATATGTTTAACTACGGAAAGAGATTGAATCGAACATCTAAGTGGTCCAAAACACAATATTTAGCAAATATCTTTACCCTACCAATAGAAACTTTTCCTTAAATATACGAGTTAGACCGGTTTCAGATCCGGGCATTCTGTTTTCGTGACAAGAAAACTCTTTACCAATTAAGTTACTAACCCCTATTTATATTATAGCTAGTCGAATTCGAATCGACACACTTTACTTGGAAGGTAAACAGTCTACCATTAACTTATAGCCATAGTATCTCTTTTTAATATTATAACTAGCTGAATTCGAATCAGCACATCTTATATGGTAAATAAGCAGTCTACCATTAAACTTATAGTCATTACACATTAATTGTTAAGACCTATGGGATTTGAACCCCACTATTATAATGATTAAAGTCCACATGTTTACCATTAAACTAAAGTCTCTTTAAAAAAAAATTAAACATATAATTTATATGTTTATATTGATTTTACGGTTATACTATTATTGTATATATATACAAAATTAATAGTATATATGGTATACCCATGAAAGATATAAAAGTTTTATATTATTAAATCTATATATAATACTTATAACTCATAAACATAGTTTATAAGGATAATCTAAGAGTATTTATAAATAAACATATCTAATCTAATAACCTCAATAGTATACAGAAATATATAAAATAATCATACAACGTCAACAAAGTGTCAGTATAATATTCCTGCTTCGTAACCTAAGTGATGGTGATCTGTTAAATGGTATGCAGCTAAACGTCATAACCCAACAGCTAAGAAAGCTGTACCAACCATAACGTGTATACCGTGGAAACCAGTACCAAAGTAAAACATGAACCATAAACACCATCAGAAATAGTGAAAGAAGATACTGAATATTCAACACCTTGGAAGAAAGTAAATACTACAGCTAATATAATTGTAACAACTGTACCATATAATGCACCTTTCTATTACCTTGTATTAAAGAATGGTGAGCGTATGTAATAGTAACACCAGAAGATAATAATATATAGTATTTAATAAAGGTAATTCAAATGGATTTACAGCTTGTATACCTAAAGGAGTCATTGGAGCACCTAATTCAACACTAGGTGAAACAGCACTATGGAAAAATGCTCAGAATATAGCTAAAAAAGAAGAAAACTGTCAGATATAATAAATAACCTACACCTAAATTTAATCCTTTTTGTACAGCAGTAGTATGATTACCTAAGTAAGTACCTTCTGAAATAACATCTCTAAATCATAAACCCATTACATACATAACGTTTAAACTACAGCCTAAAGGAACTAAATATTGGAATCCTTGGAATCCTGCATAAATAAAACTGTAGTTGTAGTTAATATAAATAAAGATAGACTAGTAAATAATGGTCAAGGAGAAGGTGATACTAAATGAAAAAGGGTGATTTTGAAAATTACTTTTTGATTATATATCATATTTTTAATTTAATAAATAATTGTTTAAGCTTTTATAACTATTTTTGTTTAATTGTTTATCATAATAGCACCTACCATACCTAATAATAAATAATAGAAGTAACAATTAATCACATAGAATAACTAGTGTACATAATATTACCAATACTAGCTATATGTGTAAGGTTCTATTAATGAATTATCTCAACTTTTACTACTAGCATAACCCAATTGTTGTTTTAATCAACTATATTAAATAATTCATTATCTAATTGTACATTATATATATCAGAAAATGAATTTGATAAGTAAGAAACTATACTATTTTCTGTAAAATTTGAAGGTAATACTTGTCCCATAATATAATAAAAATTATAACTGTTAAAGTAGCTAAAGGTAAATCATTATTAGTATTAGTAAATTAATTCAGATACTCTAATATTAATTAACATTAAATGAATAAAAATAAAATAGATACAGCACCTACATAAACTAATATAAGCTAAAAACCTATAAAATTATATCCTATTAAAATTAATAAACCTGCAACATTAACAAATAAACCTATTAAAAATAAAACAGATACTACAGGATTTCTACTAACTAGTTAGTAAACCTAATAAAGCAGATACTAAATAATAGTATCAACAAATTCTATTCTAAATCCATTAGTAATAGAATCATTTAATAAAATATATTGTTCATATATAAAATAATTAATCTATTAACATTATATACAAATAAAAATAAATGGCTAGATAGTATTAGATTAAATTTTAATCTAATTAGGGAGAAAAGGAATCGAACCTTCGTTAGCCTATAGCTATTGAGTTTTACAGCTCAACCCGCAAAACCAGCGCACGGACCCTCCCTATTTTATATAATAGCATTAATTTATTTGATTGTATAATTATAATTAAATATAATTTACATTACATTATATTATATAATATTTAATCTATAACTGGAATTGAACCAATTAAATTAATACCTATTGTAGATTATATAATATTATAGATATTAATTTTTTTTTGGTATTTTATACTCCCCCGTGCAATTCCATTACACGAACCATATTTCGACTTAACACCAATCAAAGTTTTGCATACGAAAACAATCCTGTATACTATTATATCTTAATTATATATAAATTTTATACAGAAAAAATCAAACTTACTGCATCTTCTTTTTTTCAGCGCCTGACGAGTGGTTAGTACCTAACTAAGATAAAATTCACCCGTGACGTTGGTGATACACGATTACTAGTAATTCCCTTTTTCAATCAGTCAAGTTACAGACTTCTATTCACAATTAAGTGTCCTTTTTTAGGGATAGGTTTCCATTTTTCATTTCGCATCCTATTGTAAAGGCGAATGTGGGCACGTCTATAGCCCACAGCATTTAGGGCCCATAATGACTTGTCTTAATCCCTTTTATCTGATGCCGATGTAATAGCGACCACTTTATATAAATAAATAAAGTGAGGGTTTTCGTTAATTAAAGGAATTAACCAGATCTCACGACATTAACTAAAGACAGCCATGCAGCGCTTGTAACATAGTATTATTGTAACTATCATAAATAAAAAAGTATTTAGATTTTTTTAAATTCAATATTGAACTATGATATGCAAGCTGTGGTAAGGTTTTTCGCGGATTATCGAATTAAATAACATACTTCACTACTGGTTTTAGAAACGGTCTTAATGAATTTCAGTTTATATGTGCCAATAGTACTCTTGAGGTGGAATGCTACACTTTCGTTTATGCCATTAAATATATATCTATGCATGACATTCATATTGTCTGCTTGAGACTAGTAGGGTATCTAATCCTATTTGCTACCCAAGCCTCGTCTCTCAATCGTCAGTTATTACACTAGAAGGACGCCTTCGCCGTTGACTAGTCCTCCTGGTATTAACGAATTCTATCTCTACTCCAGGAATTCTTCCGGCTCTCATATAACTCTAGTAAAAAAAGTACTCGTTTAGAGTTTAATTTTACCGTCTACTTACCCTTTAAACCCAATAAAGATAACTAACACTAGCCTCCTACGTATTACGCGACTGCTGGCACGTAGTTTGGGCAAGACTTATAAATAAATTATGTCATTATATTTAATTTATGTAGAATTTTATGCACGAATGAATCGCTATTGTATTTATACAAATACAGTTTCATTCTTCCAAGTTACTGGTTCAGCCTTGCGGCCATTGACCAATATTCCTCACTGCTGTACATAAAGCATTGGGTTTTTTTCAGACCCAATGTGGTCGATCAACTTTCCAGTTACGACTACGGTTTATTGCTAGAAAAGTCATTACCTTTCCTACTACTCACCGAGATAAAAATTTTCATCTTAAAGCGGATATTTAATTAACCTTTGGTTATAAGGGATTTTTTCCCTACTTTAAGGTAGCCAATTTATCTTTTACTCACCTGTACACCACTACTACTTAATTTAATTTTTATATTAAACTAATTAGTCGTTCGATTAGCATGTGTCAAGTACTTGGACAGTGTTCAGTTAGAGCCATCATCAAACTCTTTATTCTTTTTAATATGTAGTATAACATATCTATATTGAAGTATAAATTTTTATACTTTTAATTTTTTGATTTTTATATTTAGATATAATTAAGCCAGTTCCTGTTTAAATCTTTCATAGTTCTAAATAAAACTTAACATAGGGGACTTGTTCGCTATTATAGTATTAATACTAATAAGTATTTTATTATAATATTTGTTTCTGTAAATATCCTTATATTTTTATAATTATATTAAAATTAATATGCCTAATAAGCATTGGACTTTCCTATTTACATAAAAATTTTATATCTAAATTTTATTATAAATAATATTAATTTAATAATATTATTTATTTATTAATTATCTGCTATATATATAATTGTTATATTTAATTTTTTATTGATTAAACAGATTAGCTAAAGAAAGAATCGAACTTTCATTATAAATTTTACAATTATAGTTTTACCTTTTAAACTATTTTAGCTCAGACGGGCCCTATAAATACATTTTATATATAAATATAAATAATAATATTTATATTTATATTTATATTTATTGTTCACCTTTTCTATATATATAGAATATTAATGTAAGTCTAAACCATCTTTAATATATGAACAAGCTAAAACTACGAAAACTTGAGCTTGTATAAAAGCTATAGCTAATTCTAAACCAGAGAATGCAATAATAAAAGCTAAAGGTATTAAACCTAAGAAGAAGAATAATATACCACTGTCATAATATTATATGTGAATCCACTTAAATACTTAAAAGCATGTGACCACTTAATATGTTAGCAGCTAATCTTAAACCTAATGAAACATTTCTAGATAAGTATGAAATAATTCAATTAAAACTAATAAAGGTAATAAAGGTAAAGGACAACCTGAAGGTACAAATAATGAAAAGATTTTAACCCATGTCTTTGGAAACCTAATATAGTTGCACCTAAAACAACAGTAAACTAATAGAGAATGTTAATATAAAGTGTGATGTAGATGCAAAACTATATGGAACTAATCCTATTAAATTATTAACTAATATAAATATAAATAATACATACATTAATGGAAAGAACATTTGTCCTTTATTAGAATTAATTTGGTTCACTACTATACCATGTACTGTAGCATATATACTTTCTTGGCTAATTGATCAATTATTCGGGATTATTTTATTATTATTTGTAGCTAATAAACTATATGTTATATTAAGAAATACTAATTGTTAAATATAAACCTATGTTAGTTAATGATAATGTAAATTACCTAATAGGTTAGCATTTAAAGAGAATAAACTCTTACTTCAAATTGGTCTAAAGGACTTAATACAAAATTTAAGTGACTCATTTTTTTTTTATAAGATATATTTAAAAAATAATATATCTTTTTACATATTAATATGAAACTTACAGTTTTACCTGATAAGATGTAAATAAAAATAATTTCTTATTAATATTCTTTTATATTTAACTAGAAATAATACAATTATAAATTATAATTGTATTAATAGTAATACGTGAAATAAAAGTACGTACAAAACTAAGTAATACAATTTAGTAAAAGTATATATTAATACAGTTAATATTACGAAAGTAAATATTACTTGATTTACAAAAAAGAATGGTACTAATTGTGGCATGTTTATAATATAGATAATAATTAATAGATATATTCATAAATTATCTTTACTTAAACAGATTTAAATTAAGAATTAGAATTTATAAACTAAAGATAAATCTATAGAGATAAGCCCCTAAAATGAATCGAACATTTACTAAAAAATTAACAGTTTTCCGCTCTACCATTGAGCTATAAGGGCTATAATTAATCTAAAAAAGGGATAGATAATTAAAAAGATATTCTTACCCAAGGGTCGAACTTGGATCAAAATTTAGAAGTATTCTGCTCTGCCATTGAGCTAGTAAGAAGATAAATATATATAAATATTGTGTATAAAACATAACATTGTAAATATAAATATAAATATTATTAACATAAGTAAATAAATTAATTAATATTATATATTAAAGAAGAAACTGAGTAATGTAAACCATCTAATATAGCAGGATATATACCAAATAATACTGTAAATATTACAAATACTAATAATAAAATAAATTCTCTTCTAGTAACATCACCAATATTTTCTACAAATATACAGAATAAGAACCACCAAAAGCTATTCTATTATACATAAATATAGTATAAGCTGCAGATAATACAATAGAAGTACTAGCTAATATACCTAATATAGGCATTCTTTCAAATGCACCATATAATGACATAAATTCACCTAAGAAATTTAATGTTAAAGGTGTACCACTATTACCTAAAGATAAAAAGAATAATATAGAGAAAATAGGCATAATTTGAGCCATACCTCTATAATATGTAATTAATCTAGTAGAAGATCTATCATATAAAATACCTCCAGCACAAATAAATAATCCTGGTGATACAAAACCGTGAGCTAAACCTAAAACTATAGCACCTTCTATACCTTGTATAGTATTACTAAATGCACCTATTAAATAAACAGCAGCGTGAGATACAGAAGAATAAGCAATTAATTCTTTAATATCAATTGTTCTTAATGTACTAAAACTAGCATAAATAATAGTTTTACACCAATTACATATATAATATATGTAAGTTATTTAAAGAAGCTTTAGGTAATAAAGGTAACATTAATCTAAATATACCATATAAACTTAATTTTAAAACTATACCTGCTAATATAATACTACCAGATAAAGGTGATTCAACGTGAGCTTTTAATAATCAAGTATTTAAAAAATAACTGGTGTTTTTACAGCAAAAGCTATAAATATACCATAAAATAAAAATAATTGTGTAGTATAACTAAAGTTTGCTTTAGATAATGCATCAAAATCAGTTGTACCCATAATAGATGACATAACTATAATAGATAATAACATAAATAATGAACCTAATAAAGTGTATAAAAATAAATAGAAACTAGCTCTTACTTTATTACTTGAACCAAATAATCCTATTAATAAAAATAAAGGAGGTAATATACTTTCAAAAAATATAAATAATAATACATCTAGAACTAAGAATACAGCTAATAATAATGTTTCTAATAATAACATTATTACTACACAAATGATAATACATTTTGTGATTGTATTGAATTTCAATTAGATAATATAGCTATAGGCATTATTATAGTTGTTAATAATATAAAATATATGATAAACCATCCACACCTAAATATATATCAAAATAACTTACTTGATAGTGTTCCTCAATAATTGAAATTGTTTACTACTAAAATCAAATAATATAAACATTATTAAGGATACTATTAAATTTATTATTGATGTTGTTAAGGCTATAGATTTTATTTTTATAATTTACTATACTTAAACCATAATTAGTCTCTATTGTTACAAGACTTATACCTATTAATGGTATTAATAATAATAATACGACATATTTAATATATATATATATTAACTTTCTGCTAAAAAAAAAACATTAATTTGTTTTTTGTTACACTCATATATGCTATAAAGCTTAAGTATATAGTATTTTATATTATATATAATTATTCTTATTATTATTTAATAATATATTTATATATAGTATACTTATACTATATTGAGGTATGAATGATATAACATGTTATATGCATATAACAATATAAAAAAAATTATAATACTAAACTTGTAGGTAAAGCATCTAAACCAAATACAATACAAGGTATACATAAACATATCCTACAATTAAAGGTAATAATACAGTTCAACAAACAGACATTAATTGATCAAAACTATTCTAGGGAAAGAAGCTCTAGTTCAAATAAACACAAATATTAAAAAGCAGTTTTAAAAGCTAAATTTAAAGGAGATGAAGAAAAATTAACAAATATATCTTGTAATATAGAACTATTTATACCAAAAATTATATAATATATCTATTAACAATTCAACAGGTATAATACATAAATACCACCAAAAAATAAAATACTATTAAAACACACAAATTAATATAATACTAG